TCTTTGGTAAACCATTGTCTTTGAGGCAACATCTAATTATTTTATGGACAAAAAACAGAGCTATGTAAACTTCTCATACCATAGTTTTTTAAAACATGATTTTTCTTCAAAATCACCTATGCAAACGAGTCTCTAGCTATCATAAAGGGAAAAAACAAAAAACAAAAAAAAAGCCACTTATACATAAATGACATAAGTTTTCAAAAATACATAAGCTTTTTTACATAATAATAATAAAAATACATAAGCTTTTTTACATAATAATAATAATAATAATAAATAAATCAAATCAAATCGAATCGAAAGAGAGAGACGGGACTATATGAGTTTTGAAATAACACAAGTTTTTTTTCTTCCAAAAGAGAAAATGTAACCGATAAATGAGAGAGTAATATATATATAATATATTCTTTTAAACAAGGGGCATTTTTTAACTTTTTAAATTCTTACACGAAAAAGTTAACTTTGGTAATCTTAACGGTAGATGCTGAGTGTAAGTGTGTAATGATGCTAAAAACATATATAGGGTAGTGGATGTAATTAACCCTAATTTCTATACGTTTTTTTTTTTTGGATACCGAAGGTCTGAACTCAAGTCTTTTGAAGAGGGATACACTAATAACCAATTAAGTTACTGCTAAATACATAAAATATTTTAAGTATTTGCATAATAAAAGCTTTCACCTAAATACACATAACCCATAAAAATTAAAAGTGAATTAGTGTTCTCAGAAACGACCAAGTCATTCTAATACCATGAAAATGGAGACATGGTTGACTTAGAAATACCTTCATTTATGAGGTAATAAGGCAACACAAATGTGCATGGAAAAAAACATCATAAGAAGATGGTAGAATTTGTTGTCTACTTATTATTTAAAAAGACTTGTTTGAATAATATAAAAGTTTAGGACCAAAATCTACTTGATATTTATGTTTGTAAGAAAATGTGTTGAGATTCCCTTAATATTTTGCATGTTTGGAAATAAAGTAAGTCAAAAGAACAAAAGGAAAGATTAGACTCAAAATATAAACTAGTCTTGACAAATCACTCTAGGGAAGAATGAACCTGAAATAAGAAATTAAAAAAAAAAAGAAAAAGAAAAAAGCACCTTTTCCAGGCTGCTGGTTTTTCTAAACCAGTTTATCCAGTCAGGTTTCCATTTTGCACAGCGTTATCTAGTCAACTGCGTCCTTAGATTCCTCACCCGAAGGCAAAAATTGAACTCGTTCATTACTCCAAAACTCCAACGCAAGTCAATTTTCTTAACAATTCAAGGTATGCATTATTGTTAATAAAAAATGGAAAATGAAATGTTTTCTAAGCCACAAATATCTATTGTAAGATTGACTTCCTATTGCCAAGTCAAAATTTCAAATAATAAAGATAAATTACTGATAATTTAATGATTTATAATTAATTCGGATAATCTCATTCGGTAATTAATAGACAACAAGAATTCAAAAGCTCTTTTGCAAGTGACGATAACGAAAGAAGAACAACGTATACTATTCCTCGTAATTCTATGTCTAGCAATTAACTAAACATTACTCGTTTACGGATAAAATAACTAAAAGACTATGGTCAGTTCTTTCTATTTACGAATTAGAAAGAAAAATGATGAAATCTACATTTGAAATCAACTAAAATTTATCGACTAATTCTAATTATTAAAAACTAAAATAATTGAAAAGATAATTTTTATTCATTGTTATTTGATTGTTCGACGTCTTGCTGAACTTCTTTTTATTTTTATTTTTTCCTTTTTAATGTCTCGTCAAGACAAGACTCATTTATTTGCCTGTCATCTATCTTCGTATTGCACTCGCTAATCATCATCCAAATCACCCCAACTCGCCAAGTTTATTCTTCCATCTCTTGCGAATTTCTTTCAGGGTATGAAAACTATTCAATTCACTTAAAATTTCACATGCAATTAATCATAATTTGTATGAGAAGCTAAATCAATCCAGTTTATCTTCCTTCATTTTCTAGGTTTGAACTTTAAAATTAACATCAATGAGAATTTATTAAATTCTTTCGAATATATCAAACCGATTTGAAAAATAAATTGTTAAAATCATTAGAAAAAAAATAGTTTCGGTCAAAATACAAGTTGCTTTTAGAATATACGTTTTACCATTAGATGAAAAAAAAAAAAATCCAATTTATACATTGTTTAAATTAAAATTAAACTAAACAAAAAAATTCATCTAAATTTTTAACAATTAATGTAATTACCTACACATGCACAAATGGACTCATCCGTAAAATTCCTCTTTTATGGACTCATCCGTAAAATTTTTCTTTCTACATGACTTAGGTACGGTCCTCTTGTTCTTATATTTAAATCACGTATCATATTATTATTTTCTACCCATGCATGAGAATCAATCAACCGTTGCGATCAAAATCAGCGTCACTTTCAAGTTGTAATTAATGTCTTCAACGATTATGTAATTGTGTTTTCTTCGTTCATTGTATTAATTATTTTTTCTCCACTTTTCACGTCGAGAGCCCCTCAATGATGTTACTTACGCACCCTTAATTTGACTATAAAGACTCCTATTAGTTTCAATAATATAGTATTAAATAATTAGTTTTTAATAATATTAAATAACCATATAACCCATAAGGATGGCTCATTATTTAACAAATTGGTATAAAAACTTGTGAGATTATGATCAAGTCTCATCACCTCTTATAAATGCGCAGCAATCTCATTCCTCCATCCTTGTGTGGGTTGCCAATTAGGCCTACTGGTTTCGTTTCTACTCGTCTACTACAATCTTGTCGAGCTAGCTACGCACATGTTCGAAGTTTATCTGATTTTTATTGGAAGAATTGTAGACTAAGTTCCTTGTTAAAAATAAAATAAAATAAATTGATGTTTGAAAATATAGCGGGAAGGTATATACTATTTTATCCTAGCCAGCGAAAGTAAATTATATATTTGTTTCTTTAGTTTTGAAAAAGAATTAATTAGTCCACTTGTTTCAAAATTAATTAGTTAGTAATTGGATCACTATTAATTGTGTTTAATTTAATACTATTTTGTTTCAAAAAAATATTTTTTTCTCATCAATCTTTTTACCATACCTATTTTCTCCTTTAAAAAAAAATAAAAAAAATAAATTTGAAAACAACATAAAATAGATGAAAATAATTGAATAATTACTTTTAAAATAAAAAAGAGTATGTAATTCATTTTTCAAAATTGAAAAGACTAATTTATAATTTACTCCAACTAGCTAGCGTTGATAGAGACATGATTACATGTATTATTTTTATTATTATTATTTTGTGGGACATGATTAATTATAATTTATTAATTTGGATCTTGCTTCATTCGTGTCCTACTCTTATTATTATTATTATTATATATCGATTATATTAAAGCAATACATCTCATAGCAGAGAATTGCCAAATCAGTCTGCAAACTTCCAAACAATCCTTCCAATTAGACTCTAAGTAAATAATTTTCTCAATTAGGTCATTAATGTATTAATCTCAAATCAAATCAAATTTTCAATTACCTAACAATTTTAATTGTGTCAAGGCAGCTTAATTCAATCCAAGAACAACTAATAATTAGAATTGAGAAAATTTCTCAACGTTGAGAAACATGATGGAGCTTTAGAAATGGTTTAAAGAGATTTTATATATAATTAAATATATTTTTGTATTTTTATTATTGTAAAAGATGCTTTTAATTATCTCTCTTTTTAAAATTTATTTATTTTATTATTTTATTTTTAGACTAATCGAAATAAAAGACAATTGCGAATTTGGTGACTTGTTGGTTCTATAATGGAATAATTGAAAATTAGAGATATAAAACTTGGCTTAATTGAAATTATTGTACAAGTTGGAGTAGTGATTTAAATTTATTCTAAAACTTTTTTATAGCATTAATAATTGCACGTGATTATAGACAAGTGCAGATTAGACGGTGTTTGTCAACTAGCTTTCATTAATGGGCAATCGGTTGACTTGAATGAGGAATTCCAATTCTTTAAGACCGATTGAGCAATATTGCTTATGTGTGGAACCTAAATAGAAATTTTAATATTTTATGCATACTTGGGGGGACTGATTTGAGGATCAGATAATAATAAATAAATAAATGAAGTAGTCCATAACCTTAGAAGTTTCTTTTAGTGGAACCTAAATAAAAATTTTAATAAAATACAACCGAAAGTTCAATGCATAAAAAAAATAAAAAAGACACCTTGCTTTCATAATCTGTTTGCTTTATTGAATTATTCTTAAATTAACTAAAAAAAATACGCACATGTTAATTAATTGACTAACACACCCAATTTTGGATAGAAAACTATGAAATCAATAAAAACATCTGGATGTGTTAATGAATTGTAATTCAAATGATATTAACTTTTTCAGTTTTTACAAATAATAAAAGCTTTCACCAAAATACGATTTATAAGAATTAAAAACTGAGGAATTAGGGTTGTTGGATCCAACCGTCTCATTCTAACTCTTTGGACATGGAGACATTAATGGTAGACTAGGAAATGACATCACGTATGACGCAATGAAGCAACCAAAATGTATAAGCGTGGATTTAATTCTCATCTCGACCTTTTCAGATATTGTTTTGTGGGATGGCTTTAAATGCATCAACACGTTTTTTGGTAGCCAAAGACCAAAATCCATCAAGTAGCTAGCTATATAGGACCCATTCAGACAATCCACGTTCCCTTAATCCCACTTGGATTTGCCTATTGCCACAAAATCACCGGCCACTTATTGGCCTGGAAAGTATATAAGAACTTCATTACTTTGACCTTTGAAAATTTTGACTTTGTAGTTATTAATTAAATCATATTGTGGATTTGACCTAACGCTTCCTCAACCTATATAAGGACTTCAACTCCTCTCTTGGTCCTTACAAGCTCCATCTCTTGAGAGTTTTTTAAGAAAATTTCAACCATAGAAAAAAGAAGCAGAAAGAAAAAAGTACTTTCTTGCACAAGAATGAGTAGCAGCAGCAAAACGGATCAAGAAAGTGGAGCAAGCGCAGCTCATCAGAAGAAACTCAAGGGAGTGAGGAGGCGAAAATGGGGCAAGTGGGTGTCTGAAATAAGGGTTCCTGGCAAGCAAGAACGGCTTTGGTTAGGTTCTTATTCTACACCAGAGGCAGCTGGGGTGGCACATGACATAGCTTCATATTGTTTACGTGGGCCTTCTTCGATAGAGAGTCTGAATTTCCCTCTAATGTTGCCTTCGAGTGTAAGAGAAGACATGTCACCTAAGTCCATACAGAAAGCTGCATCAGATGCTGGCATGGCAATTGATGCACAAATGATGCTGAACAGGTTGCCAGAAAATGAGGTCAAGGTTGGGTCTGAAAGTGGTGCAGTTAATCGTGGGCTAGAGACAGAGTTATGGGAACCTGCAGGTGGTGATCATCATGGTGGTAATGGTCGTGGGAATTGGCATGGAAACAATATTATTAGTATGACAGAAGGGGATGGTTTAAACATCTCCATTGAAGATTATCTCTAGTGGTTTAGATTTTGAGATCATGTTTTATATATGCGATCTTTTGAATATGTATATATTTAAATACACCCAATGATACCTTATAGTTAATGGAAATTGGATGGTACGAGAAAGTATTTAACTTTTAAGCTTTTCATGCATGAGGAAACGGCTAGCTAGCATGGTTGTTTCATTTATATTTTTAGTTATATTTTTTTTTTTTACAAAGAAAGAAAAGGTAATTAGAATTAAAAATCTTTAGAGAGAATGAAAAACTAATATCAATTAAGTTATAATTAATCAACGTTTGCTTGAAATTTGAGAGGTCTAAATGCCTCTATTGCATACCTAATAATTAACTTAGGGCCATTAAACGCAATGCGATGTACATCAATGTCACACATGTGAGAAAAGGTAGCATTCCGTACAAAGGGAAAAATCATTTGACTACTTTGACCTAACTATAGTTTTAAATCGTGTCTTAAATCTTAGATGTAATTGAAAAGATCATCGACCTACTGTAATTATTAAAATAACGATCATAATTATTATATATCGAATAATGATAAGGAGATGTTTTAAAATCATTATATAATGATTCTTATTGAAATCTATGTATCTATTTATTTATCTATGATTGTCTAGAAGTTTCAATTGAGGTTTATTTATCACTAGTGATTGGTATTTATAATTTCAATAATTATCTATCCATTCACAAATCAAAATTTTAAATTATGAAAATATTAGACACATATATTTTTTCAAGGCACATCAATTTCGTTGTCAAAGCATAAAACAAAGCTTTGAAAAATCCATAAAAACAAAGGTACTACTCCCACTCAGACAAGGAAGTTAAATGATCCAGTTTTGGCATGACAGGTACGTGTAAAACAATAGTTGCCGCTTGCAAATTGCAAGGCCGTGGTTGCAAATTTTCAACCATATCAACGACTTTTTTCTTCATACTCCAGTTAAAATCTAATCCTATATATTGACTCCATATACTTTTGACCGATTCATTGTATATTCTTTTGGGAAGACGGCCGTTACGCCAGCCGGCTCATTTTACCAAAGGGAAACCTTCCAAAAACACTGAACCAAAAAAAAAAAAAAAAAAAAAAAAAAATAATAATAATAATAATACTAGATATTAAGAAAAATAATAATAAAAAAAACTTTAAGAAAATTATGAATCATTGGATCATGATTTTAAAGTGACGTACAATGACAAGTTTTATAAAATTTTAAAAAAACTACGAGTCATTTAATCATAATTTTGAAATAGAAACCAATTATGGGTCACACTAATCTAATAATTCATGTGTATCGTGAAATTTTTTTAAAATTATTTTTCTTAATGTTTATCATGTGTAATATATATATATATATATATATATATCATTGGGGATTCGTTAGTGTAGTGGGATTCCTTGTATTATATTTGTGGACGTAAAAGGCATGCACGAAGTTGAATATTCAATTGATTAAAGTAATATTAATGTTAGCTAAATAAGTTTCAAAATATGAACCTTCACCCTTTTTCTTTATTTTTATTTCTGCACGATATATATATTTTTCTCTTTAGGAAAGAAATATGCTTTGCTTTCCTTTATTTTAGCTGAATTGAATTACACCAACGAAAAGAATTAGAACGTTTAATTGAATTTCTTTTTTCCAAAGACTACTTATTAATTAAGCATTTATTGGGTATCTCATTTCTGACTTAGTATTGCAAATATGAAATCTGCTTCCCTAGAACTAGAACGGGATTTGGTCGGCCATGCCACAGTACTTTTCTTTCTTGTATATATAAAGCTAGGAAAGTTAAAACTCAAGACATGTTGAAAATAATCTTAGATCTACGATGGCTACAAAAATATTTTTTTTTTTTTATTTTATTTTTTAAAAAAAATTTTGGCGTGACAAAGATCCTTACCCTTAATTTGTAATACGCAATTGTTTTTTCCCCTAATTATATTAAGCTAGATATTTGCATTTAAAATTTGAATGTATATGTGTGAATACAAAGAGTTAATACATTCGTATATCCTTATATAATAGGTTAATTTTTTAATTTGTTCTTACATTTTAAAACATCTTAAATTTATCCTTATTATTTAACTTGGTTTTTAATTTATCGTTTTGGTTAAATTTTTTGATCAAATTAAGTATGTGATTTGCATTTAGTATGTGTTTTAATAAAATTATCTTGTTATTTGACATAAGTAATCTATATCTATTAATATAAATATTAATTAATTTCTTATGAATTTGTTAAAAATTTAACAAAAAATATAGATTAAAAACCAAGACAGATAATAAGTATAGATTAGAGATGTATTAAAATTTAGTGACATATTGAAAAATTAGCTTATTATATATAAAGGTATTAATTCGGATAATAACGTAAAAGAGCATAGCTAGGCTTCAAAAAAATTCGGTTGTCATATTTTCTTAGTCGGTGACTAATTTCAATGTTTTTGTCGTAACGCGATCACTAACTAATTTCATTCTTGTATGTTCCTGCATTAGTCGGCACCAAATGAATGCGTCGAATTGTCTACTTCAAATTCAAACCAAGACAAAGTCCTTAGCGTACGAAGCTGACACAGGCAAATAGCTTCGCAGAGGCAGTCGACATTCATTAATGTCTTGACACAACGTACGCAGTAGCTGGCAGCAAATATTCACATAGACTTTGCAGTCCATTTTATTTTTGTTCAAGTTCCTGCCAATCGCAACCGGACCATCGCCTTAATTATCTGAGACTCCATTGTCAAAAGGGTCATAATTAGGATCGAGTATACTTATTCTCATGGCATGTAATTTAATATGACATTTAAGGAGGATCAACTGTCAATTATAATTTAATTTTAGTTATAAAATTTCTCAAACATAAAACCAAGAAAAAAAATTAATATTCTCATTTTCATACATAATAAACCAAATTTACAATTATGTCTAAATTCATTAACGCCTTCTCATCCATGTTATTTTAACTAATTTCTAATCTATTTTTCTACTAAAAAATTTTCAATTAATTCATCAATATTCATATTACAATAGCTATAAATCACTTATGTCAAAAAACAAAAATAATTTTTTGAAATCATATATTTAATTTGTTTCAAAATTATAATTAAAAAATTTTAAAATGATTTTGTTCTACCGGGCTTGTAACGTAACGCGGACAACCGACTAGTTTTAACTAAAATAATAAATTAAAAACTTGTTCAAAAAATAAAAATAAATTAGAAACGTTTTTGAATTTAGGGACAGATTTAAAATTTGACCTACAATATAAAAACATGTAAAGGTATTAAGGCAAAAGAAAAATAAATAAATAAAACTCAAAACTCAAATTAATTGAGTACTACTTCTACTACACGAGGGATAAAAGACTAGTAACAGAGCAAAATAACTCCAGTTTATTCTCAGCATAAAATGTCACAGCCGAAGTGATAGCAAAAGGCACAAATGGACAGTCTGTAAACTAAAGCAGGTGTATGAAAGAGCTAAACTGCATTATTGATTACCCAGCCAAAATGCTTTTTCATTCCAGTTTCTGCAGCTGCATCTGCTGGGGATTAGGATGGGAGAAGGTAAAGGGACCAGTAAGAAGTTTCCTTGTAGGGCTACTGCCTTCAATTACAGGCCTCCCAGTGCCTACCAGAGACATTCTTCTCGAACCGTTGGTTGCAAGCAACATACGAAATGTCCAATTGAGGATTCCCGGTGCAAACATCCTGTAAAGGAGGAATATGTCATACCAGCTCGGGTACTTCACATATTGATGTCCTCGGCAAGCCCCTGACACAATCATTCTTGCATAGTCCTCCACCGGACCGCCAGTCCCATTTACCTAAAACAGCAGGGAAATGTATCAGGGCCGGCAAAGCATTACAGAGTAACCTTCTCATGCGTATAATAAGCCAGCTTTAATAGTTATTCTGGCAAAAACAAGTGTTATAAATCTCGTTCTTCGATTGTCCCACATGATGTCAATGTGCCTCGGATTGTCTCAAGTCATTGATAGATAGAATGTATGTTAATCTCATTTGTTGGAGAATTTCAATAATAATAAATACTGTAAAACAGAATTACCGGTAACAATGCTGACATTAACCAACTAGAATGATTAGCAAAGCATATCAGGAAAAAATTTGCTAGCAAAATCTTACTTCTCTTTCTTCTTTCCATTGCATCTCTGCGCCATCCTCTAGCATGAACTTGCCTCTGCCCATTTCGCTCCCAATCCAACCATGAGATGCAATTGTTATTCCAATTTCATCATTCACTTCAAATCTCAGTGACTCGTAGAAGTTTACCAGAGCAGCTTTTGCAGCCTAGCAAAGATTGCAATAATTTAAGAGAATATAATGAAGCCTCAACCATTTATGATGAAGTATTTAATGTGGAGTTCGGCACAAAAAAAAATAAAGCAAAAAAGAAAGCTTTGGATGAAACGGGGACATGAATATATTTCTGTTGGTTGTGCTTGTGCAGCTGCTTGAACCAGTCAAGTATAGGAGACTGGATGAAGTCTAATGACATGAATTTATGTCACTCGAACAGAAACAAAAAATGATTCTCCATAAAGTTGAACATCACTAGCCTGCCATTGTTCCTGTCAAATTTAGTATTTCGTGAAGGATAATTAGAGTGATCCAGCATTATTGTAGGAGATTAATGGATCGGGGTAAGAGTAGTAATAATGAATTATTGCAGACAAAGTGTTTTATATAGCTAAGTGCAGTAAACCAAAATCCGCTGCGGGAGAAGCAGTAGAGGTAAGCGATATTCAAATTGTAAGTGTAACCATTCTAGCTATACAGATGTGGATCAGGGTAATGATTCTTATCCTTTTCCTTTCCATTTAACATTTGAATGAATTTGCATTTGAAAAATTCCCAAATTTTAGCCCTTTATACATCTAATTGCATGGCAAATAATGGAATACGCAAGGAAACAAAGTTCCCTTGACTCAGGTATACTCACAGCATATAAGCTCATTCTTGGCAGAG